ACTCCTTTCAAGAACTCCTGGCAGCCCAGAAGGACATACATTTGAGCCACTTTCGTGAGCGCGGTTCTTCAAATTGTGAAGTCGACCGCCATGAGATTTACTTTGGAAAGTAGCTAGTAGGCCCAGACATTCGCTCCTCGTCACATTCTTTTTTAGCTTTAATTTCTCCCAAAAAGTCAAGAAATAAAAAATCTTCCCGCCACGATTTCTTTTTTTTAGTAATTTCGAGACATCTTTAGTTTGTGGACAATCATTTTTGTTCTTAGTATTGTCCTATCACAAACAAACGTTGCATGCATATGCTTTAAGATATGTAAAATGCAACAATCTAGATTTGGTTAGAATGTATACATTATATTTATTAAAAAAAAAACAAAAAAAAAACATAGCCTTATACAAATGAATTGTTTTTTTTTTCGCTTTTTAAGTATTTTAAAATAGATGTCTCGCACAGATTACTTGTGTTGTTGATTGCGCTGTGGATTAAAAGGGGCAAATTAGCTTATTTCATTAGGTTTTCTTAAGTGTGTCACCACGCCCCACATGCACGCGAGTACACATGGTGTTTTTTTAGTATATATATATAAGTGCATTGCATCCAGAACATAAAAACAAGCTATAATTAACACCATATTCATATATAAAAAAGATCAAGCACTATAAACTATGCAAATTTCATTCAATTATCATAAATAATAATTAAAAAAAAAAAGATAAAGTTTTCCCCTGGCGCATGCCTCGTTAATAAATAAACCAAGAGAAAGCTTGGAGACCCCGAGGGATCAACGACTTCACCACCCCACGCTTCAAAACGCGAGCACCCCACAGAATAGAAAGCAGGGACGCATTAAAAGGGCCGCCAAGGCTGAATGACTCGACAAGGGGATGACAAAGAAACGAGCGAGTCAATCCACAAGACAATCGACAAGCCAGAAGTAAGCCTCCGCTCCACTGAATGGGTTGGGCAAGATTCAATGAGGCCTGCGCTCCAGATGCATACGTAAGAAGCACCCCGGCGGGCACAATCACGTCTGCAAAAAAGAAAAAAAAAAGTTGTCGTCTGCTAAAAAGTTGCCGCCGTCTGCTACTAGGCACGTGAGTACGCGGCACCCCTGATGGTTATTTTCTTGCTGCCAGTATTTATTTAAAGGCGAGGAAAGAGAAAAAACAGGAATGGTTCAAGAGACGATTGGACAATCTGTAGAAACGACGAAGGACACACGGGTCACTGAAATCATAAACGTGTCTAGCTCGAAACGACAAGGCCGTTAAGGCCTTCTTTTTTCTTTTTTTTTTTTTCGGGGGGGGGGGGGGGGGGGGGGGGAATTTGGAAAAGGCTGACATTTCTTCCAGTTAAATTCGTCTTTGAGCGAGTCGTGTTCGCGAGCGTCCGCGACAATGAATCATTCAGCGCCAATAGAGGAAGATATGGGCCGGAAACGGCCCAACAATCTAACCAATCCAAGCGGCGTCCTTCGCGAATATTGTGCATTTTAGTCGCTTCACATTTCGGTCGCCAGTCCGCGCCAGCTTTCGCTGCACACTTCCCCACTTCCATGCTTTGCGCTCTTACCGCTGGGTGGCGTCGCCTCCGTTGTTGGCGACATGGTGGCGACGTCTGCACATTCGGCAGATCTCCTTCCACTTTAGCAAAGCGGACGCTGGAGAGGAGGGAGCGTTCGCTCTGCTAAAGTGGAAAGGGGGAGAGGAGTTCCCCTGAACTTTTCGCCTGTGACCTGTCACCGTCTCTACACCCGTTTTCAACTAAAAAAAAAAAAAAAAAAAAAAAAAAGATTTGCGCATTGTTCATACGCGGCGCGAAGTAGTTCTTACGAGATTTGGTTGTAGGAAGAAAACGCGATGCTTTTGGCGTTTGGAAACCGTACGTCTTAATAAGGTAACGTATATATAATCTACAATCCACCTACATACTGTAAACGACTTAATTTTCGCAAGGACCTAATTTTCGCGAATTGCCTACAATCCGCGAAAAATAGGTTAATGTAAACAAATTGGAATCTATATTGAGATCCCACCGCGTCGCGAAAATCAGGGCCCGCGAATTATTCGAAAACTTCTGCTTTGACCTAAATCGCGAAATATTGAGCCCGCGAAAAACAAGTCTTTTAGAGATATCTTAATTCTCTACGTAAAGGGGGAAATCAGTAATTGCTCCGCGAGGAGTCGGTCTTCTTTTTTATGACAGTTCTTGGTGCGAAAACGGGTTTAAACCACCTGCTGCTTGGTGAAGGAGAATAATTCAGATGGAAGAGAAAGGAACAAATGACATAAGGCAACGTCTCAATAATGAAACACATGTACAAATGCAATATACAACGCAGAGAACAGTTACACGAGTTCAACCTTTTTTTTTTTTTTGTAGATTGTGGGACAGTCAGCTTTAACGTACAACTTTAAAGGACGTTCCGCCGCCTATACGGAGCGAAAGTTCGTCTGCTTCTTTTGCAGGGGTTGTGGTGACGTCAGAACACCGAGCTCTGATTGGTTCTGATTGAAGGATAGTGGGCAGACCTCAAGGCAGCTTGCTTTGAAGTCTACCCGCTATTCTTCAACTAGAGTCAACCAGAGCTCGGTGTTCTAACATCACCACAACAAAAGCAAAAGAAGCAGACGAACTTTCGCTCCGCTTTGTAATGTACAGGGTGTCACAAAAGAAAATTTACACGGTCTTTTTTACCGCAAAAATAAACTAGGCATCGCCGAACGCTCATTCTCCGCCCAAAGGTAGAGCTAGAGGTCACAACCTGATGCCAAAGTTTCAGCCCGATCCGATAACTTAATCAAAAGTTATAAGTGATTCTCTGAAAATTTCAAGGGGAAAATGGAGCCCATTTTTGCCCGTTTTCGGTTTCTGGTGCCATAGAGCCCCATGTGCACCCTGCCCATGTGTTTCAAAACTCCGTCCGCCGCCATTTTCCCATTGAAATTTTCAGAAAATCACTTATAACTTTTGATTAATTTATCGGATCGGGCTGAAACTTTGGCATCTGGTTGTGACCTCTAGCTCTACCTTTGGGCGAAGAATGAGCGTTCGGCGATGCCTAGTTTATGTTTGCGGTAAAAAAGACCGTGTAAATTTTCTTTTGTGACACCCTGTGCTTTTGCTTTTGTTGTGGTGATGTTAGAACTGAAAATGTAGACTTCATGAAGGCCACTTTTAACAACACCTGCTCCGCTCGCTGTCCTATACTACAATCGTACAAAAAAAAAAAAAAGAAAATTAGAAGGTCGGAAGAAAAACAATTATCAATAAGATAAAAGAAAGTAGAAAAAAAATTTCGCCGAGCGACCAAAACAGGGGATTTGCACTCCACTGACGCGGATAGCAGAAGGCAACATTCAAGGTCTCCCCGCATTTACCGTAGCGGGGGGGCACGAAAAAAAAGCGATACAAAAAACATGATTCGTGCGTACGCCACAGGTGCTCGTGGCCATGTTTTTATATTGTTTGTGTGCGAAGGGGGAGGAGGAGGAGGAGGGTGGGGGTCGACAGGGGGCGCGCGGCCTTTCACGGTGATGACAACAACAAGACGGCTCGCTGTTGCGTGGTGGTCGGCACGGCCACGCCTGAACGAATGCGCTCTTGAATGATGATGCGACAAAACATCGACGCATCGCTACTTTCTCGTCGCACTAGCTGACACAAAGAGAATGACCTCCTCAGTATCGTCACGCCATCCATTGTCGGACAACTGGCGTCACAGTGTGGAACACGTCAACATGTGGTACATGTATGTCTGAAAAGTGCTTGAGTACATTTCTGTGCATCCAAAATGAAAATGATAATTTTTCTCTCGAGGCACCAAAGCATCCCCAGTGTTCCAAATCCTCTCGAGTAGATCCCAGTTACTCCCATGGGCCAGGCACGTAGCCAGGTGGGTGACCCATGGGGCCCGGGCCCACCCCGAAATCTTCTCTTTTGCTGGGACCTCCTCTCCACCCTCCCCCTCATACAGCATTTTGTCATAGGCAGCCCCCCCCCCCCCCCGAAACAAAATCCTGGCTACGCGCCTGCCATGGGCCATATCCCGTGATATCACAGATGATGCGATGCTGGATGCAAGTAGGTTTTTGAATGCCAAAGTACAAAACCGACTACTCTGGAGTGAGGTCCGAGTAAATTTTGGTACACGACCCTAGTGGATCACACATCAGTCTCACTTCTGCCATGCTAATTGCGTGGCAAAACTTAGACTCGTAGAGCTTGGGTCTTTCTCATTCAAGGGCAGCTGCAATCCTGAATTTTTCAGTTTTCTCAGATTTTGAGATAAAACTGGCTCTGTGAGAACATGGTACCCAAAGCATGACCTGCAGTGTTATGTCAGAAAAAAAATTAACCTCGATGCCAGGGTACTTCGCAGAAATCACCAAGCTTGATTAGTTGCTGCAGCTCCTGAAAATTCTTTAACCTCCGGAGCTTGATTACAACGTGCTGGTGCACTGAATCAGCAACCAGTAAAAATACAGCGCTAGCAACCATACGTGGTCTTTGCCAATTTTGTGAACATTGCTCCAGTTAGCACGAACACAACACTGGCACTCTGCCGCAGTCTAGCCAAATGGGTTTCTGCCAACGGTCGAACAGCACACTTAGCCATTCAAGACGATGCCATACACACATACATTCCTCCGCACTGGTACCATAGCTTTAAAGCGACAGCTTCACACGGAAACCATTTTTCGAGGAATTGGGTTCAGCGCAGTTGTTCCCATGCATCCACTCTTTCTACAGATGCTCTCTGAGCACCTTACTCAGGGTGCCCTTCATATGTTCGCTTTCAATAGGCCCTAAGGACTTGTATCCTTTATATATAACTTCAACCTTGACGCAACGCCCAAAAGTGCTTCTGGAATGTGTCGCAGGAATCAGACTTTTTTTTTTTTTCTTTTTATGTATTTTGGCCTATAAAACATATTCCACGTTAGAAGAGTGTCGTGGCCTCTACAAACGTGCAAAGAGGGGAAGTGGGCAGACTCACTTGTTGTAGACACGGCAGGTGGAGTTGTTGACTCGCTTGTCCGAGACAAACCGCCGGTGGTCCTCAAAGGCGTCCTTGATGGCGGTGACGCCCAACACAAAGAGCACGGGTATCATGGCCACCTCCTTGCCGAAGGCGTTGATCTGCGGCACCCAGTTGAGCAGCACGATGCCTAGGAAGTACAGGTTGGCGAAACGGTGGAACTGCTCGAACAGGTTGCGCGGTATGAACGACAGCAGGGTGTACTTGGTCGTCTGCACTGCGTTGCCCGCGTAGCCCCGGTTCGGGTGCTGCTGCTTGGGGACATCGTCATCGACCGTGTGGTTGGGGACTACGCGCCGGTTCGGGGGCGGTTCGTCGCGCGAACCGGCACCGCCCCGGCGGCAGCACCGCCAGGGAAGCCAGCTGAACCGGGAACGCCGGCTCCGGTTGTTCTCTTCGGTGGTCATCGAGAGCGACGCCGTGCTGGAGTCCTCGGCCGGTGCTTTCGACGCCATGACGGACGACGCAAGCCTGGTGTGGGGGATAAAAAAAATTGTTGTTACGATCAGTTTTATACGTGGCTTGCACGTAACGCCATCGCACCATGCTGGTAGTCGTTCCCACTTGTTTTTCACGAGAAACACAGACTTGGTGGTGCGTAATGTAAGCTGCACAATGTATGCTGCACGAGCTAGACCGATCTGACCAGCCAGTTTCGTTAAGCCGCCACTTCTGGCAAGGACCGTGGGAACTGTAGTCTTTCTGCACGTGCAACAACGCCGATGTGGGTTTGCATGACCAGAGCCGGAGTGGTGCACTGGCACCTCTCCATGGACTACACTGATGGTGGCGTCACACATGTGCGGAATGCTTAGTGAGATTGGTCAACTTTTTTTGTTTGACACTACTCTTAATGCTTGGCGGTCATTAATCAGGCTATGCTAGAAAGTTTCACACAAGCTAAGCAAGGCGCTGAAACAAGGACAGCAGTGAAACCCATTTATTTTTAAAAATGCTTAGTCATTCCAGCTTTCTGCTTTACAAAAAGGGCCCTTGCAATCGAAACATCTACAACTGCAATAGCACAGTGCTATTTCTAGCCTTTTCCAGAGTGCAAGAAATATGTGCTCGAAGGTTCCTAACAGCTGCAAAACGTTAAGAGGAGGCTGCAATTTTTGGGCAAATGAAACTTCTTTCTATACTATAACCAAACATCAGGAAAAAATCAACAAAGGAACCAACATTTGGATAGGAAACCTAGTTCATGGAATTCACTGGGGTGCCCTCAAGAAGCAACCGCCAAATCTCAGCTGCCACTACCCATATTTCAGAAATAAGGTGTGGCTTCAATGCCTGCCACCTGTTACAAGAGGTCCTCTACAAGTTAGTTGAGCCACCCCGTTTCTTCCCTAAACATTAGCTCTAACGATGGCGGAGAGGGAATAGAGATAAAATATTTCGTAATGCTTCTGCAAGCACATATCACTGTGCTCTCGGTGACTCATTGTGTGCATAACTACTATATAAAGAAGAGGTTGGACGTTGGTCGATGTTGGGGAACACCTATTCGAGGTCGACTGACCGAAGTACCGATAAGACCCACTTGGTTGGATCCACCTTCGAGCGTCGCCTGGCAACAGGGACTGACTTATAGGTAGAGCACAGGTCCAGTGGTACAGAGTTCCAGTTTGTCCAGTTTCATTTGAAATCTTGGACAATCAACAAAATGGGGTTCACCATTTGTCTCATCCAGTTTTGTTCAGGACAGCGCGTCATCGTAATTTTGGGGCACGACAAAAGCCCCCGTTATAGTTTACAGCTCACACTTCTTAGAGGAAGGTGGGGTTGTGTTTTTAATAACAATGAAAGCTACGATCATGGGGGGGAAAGGAGCAGCTAAAGGTCTCATCTCACCGCTCCACCCCGCATAGCTACAGAGTGGAATGGGATGGGAAGAAAACAAGCTTTCCAGAATTTGTGTGATTATAAAGTATTGACGTTTATTAAACCAACTATTTTTGCAAGTTTTGTTTGGGACAGGTAGTACAACCAATGCCAAGGGTGTGAATGTGTAATTTAGCTGAAGTATCATTCGACACATGTGAGTTCTTCAAAATTAGGGCAGGCTTTGTGTCTGGATAACATTTTGTTTTCATATTAAATTTAGAAAAATGGGCACATGCAGCAATATTAAACACAGAATTCGGGGAAATCAGGAACGCACCATAAATAAACTCCAATAAGTTCGGTATTTTGGGCAAAACATAAACTCAGAAAACACGGAATCCTACCTATGGGTGTTTCTCAGGGTTGAAGCGAGCAACCTCGCTGCCATTGTTGCGTGACACCGAGACTCTCGGTAACTATCCTTTCGATAGCCGCATCTCGCTCGCCTTGGAGTGGAGACAAACTAAAAAAACTCGGCGCTCGCAGTGCATATCAGTGGAGAAACCGGAAACAAAACGATGAGCGCGAAGATAGTCTGGACGACAAATCTCTGTCAGGCAGATTAGCGAGCCGGTCGGAACTGGACATTACCCACTCCGTCCAACTTTTCCAGCCCGTCGAAGCTTCGAGGGAAGAAAAAGGAACGGACAGTGGTGCAATGAACTTTGAAAAGCATGCCAGGAAGTGTCAGAAGCACTTTGACTGGAACATCCAAAGCTCCTGTTTCATTTTTTGTGTGCAAAAACTTTAGGATATTGTTCTTTGTCCACAAACTATATTCCTACGACTTCAATTATCTTGGGGATTAGGCAAAAACATATTTGCAGCACCCTAAGTTCACCAGTCTCATATCACTTTTAACTTGCTACCTGTCATAACAGTCATTACTGATTCATGAAGTTTGAGCCTTTTGCACTCTTTATTTGGGAAATTCCTGGTGTCTTTTAGTGAGCGTAATGTGTGATTATTCGGAGAAAATTAAACGAACAAAATGTTCATCTTCCAGGTATGAAATGCACCTCAGGTAATAACAGGTATTGGTAGTGCAGTGTTGGAATACTAAGCAACGGAAACCAGTCACAATTTCGGAGAAGAAAAAAGCACCTCTCGCAAAAATATAGCGCAGTTACAGCTACATAACAGGTGTTTGTTGGTTTAAATAGCTGCCTCGTTTGTTATTAAGGCCAGAGGTTGAACGGAAACTTTCGGTTAGAACCATGAAATCTACAGTCGGATCATGGCTTGCGCTAAAAGCTAGCAAGTGCTTCGAGAAAATAAAGTCAAAGCCAAATTAGACGTTAAATGTTCAAACAGTGCAAGGTTTAATCCGCCTTTACAGCATGGCAACACTGTTACACGCTGTAGATCTACGATGGTAGCCTGAGGCCTCTAATGTGCATCAATCAGTAGGAGGACAGCACGACGGTACAATGCTCATCCAAAAGCCATTCAAACTGATTAAAAAAAAAAAAAAAAAGGCAAAAGAAACAATACATGTACGCTATCTAGTTGAGAAGTCAAGGGCTCCCAACTAGATAAGACTGCGCTCATGAGGCTCTCCAGTAAACAATTTCTGTGAAACCTAAAGTGTGACGTCAGAAGTGCCCCCAAAACAAATCACGTGACGTCATCTGTTAATGACGTCGACGTCAGCAGCGGGCGGCACTTCAAAGAGAAAACAGCCGTGGCCCCGGGTCGGGGAGCGCTGCACGCTAAATGCCGTGTCAGTATAAACAGATCGATAAAGAGTCCACACGCCTGGCGGCGGCGCAACAACCCACATTTCCCGAAGTGTGTTTGCACCGCGCCAGTGCAACGGGACCTAGGCGCACGTTATGACAAGAGCGGAGGGTTCCTGTGACAACCGGTTCGCACCCCAAGCGCCGTCGGATAAGATAAAGGGCCCCAAGGAAACGGAACGAACTCTTGCAAGCACCCACGGTCGGCTTTCTTTTTATTTTTTTTTTTTTTTTGTTATTGCCGAGATGCTGCGAACTTTGTCTCCGCCTGAGCGGCCTGAGCACACACATTACGATATTTCTGTTTTGTGACACGCTGACGAGCGACAGCGAGAACATATCGCTCAAGCGCCCCAGCGTCTAGCCGCATCTGTCAAAAACTACGGTGGCGATGAAGTTTACCGATCGCGAAAGTCAAAAGTCGCTTTCAGTGCCGCCAGCTTTCCGTTCACTCCGATCCCCCGAAAGATATGAAGTCGTTTTATCAAGTTCCTCGGAGGCTGGTGATACCGAACTCCCGGCAAGTGACAGCGAACCGACCGGCATTGCGTAACTTTCTTTTTTTGCTGTTGTTATTTTGCTTACGCGACACGAGGAAAAGTTAGCTCCGGTTTCCAGTGTGGGACGATCCTAAAACCAGTACCGGCTGTCTCGTGGGCAACCGCAAATTTGGCCGTAAACACGGCTACAAAACGGTTCGGCTTCGTCGGGTCAAGCGACGAGTCTTAAAAGAAAGCGAATGGCTTGCGAGCAATTAGCGAGCGAGAGGGGCAGTTGGGCCAAAGCTGGACGAAAGCGGCGGCGGTCAGTACGGCGACCAACTCACCTAGGTGAATCCGAAACGCTCGTACTCCCAGATAAACTTTCGAGGCGGCGATGTTCGACGGTAAGCGTATCCGAACCGTTTCCGCGTTGACGCTGTCATCGAAAAGCCGAGTTCACGACAGCGAGCGAAGCAGCACGGCCCTGCGAGTCGTCGACGTCGCGCGGCGGCCAGCGTAGCATCGTCGAAAACTTTCGGCACGGCACATCACGTTTCGTCGATCACGGTCGTTCTCGTCGTCGTCGGAGAGCGGGCGGACTCGGCGACTTGCCGCGTGTTTTGGTTGACAGGGGAAGCCGAAGCGAAGACTGTTGCAGCGGGGGAAAAAAAAATACACAGCCGCCTTCGCTCACACACGCTGCACACACTTCACGGCGACCACCCGCCAGCGCAGCGCTGCTGCTGCTGCTACTCCGACTGACGAAAAGAAAACAAAAAAGTCAGCGAGCTCTGAAAAACGCCAACAGGCACCTGACATTACCGCTTCCGCCGGAATTTGCGTCACAGAGTTACCTCACTACTTGTTGTCCTTTTCTTCGCGTTGCGTACGCTTGGCTTTACACTATGACGTGTGATGCACTCCCAACACTGTCAATCGTGTTGTGGTAGTAATATCACTGAATTCCGTTGCAAAAAATACGGCGCTGCAATCTCTAATTTAAAAAAAAAAACGCATTTTTTATATAAAGCGTTATTTTTAAAATTGTATTTAAATATTAATATTAATATAAACCTTATTTTAATGCTTTATTTTAAAGATTCATTATTTCTATTAAAAACACTGGCAAGGAAGCGCAATACGCAAGCTGCCTTTCTAATAAAAATGTTCAGCCGCCACAATTGAAACTGAAAATAATTCAACTAAACAAAATATACGTAACTAAAAAATAAATATATAGGTTAAATAATCATAAAAAATTAGTAATTCATAATATAAAATTTATAAAACTTATAAAGGATTAGGAGTGAGTGGATATCAACGACCAAGGCCGTAGCCTTTAGAACTGGGGGTAGCTAGCGCCACCTAGCATAAAGCTTTTTGACGTAATTTATAATGGCCACTCGTCTCCCAGAATGCATCGCATTCGCAGAGTGTTGCAAACAAACTCGGCTGATGCACCGAGTGCAGAAGATAGGGAGCTTCGGCGAGTATGTAGGCTCCCTGGGCTCCCTAACAGAAGACTGATGCTGCCGCCATCTATGTCGCAGAAAAGGTACCGACTTCACACGGAAACTAGCGCCTTTCTGTTCGGGACTTTCGATTTCGATCTAGTTACAGGTGGATCAGATTTTCGCCTTGGTGAGGGCGTCGAGAACGAGAGCTTTCTCGAACAAGATACTAAGGGGCAAGTTAGCTGACGTAGGTAAATGCCCAAGCCCGGGTAAAGTCACCATGTTTAGCTTGTTTCTGCTGGGGGAGTTTTGTCGACAAATGTTCAATTATTCACCCGCACACGGAAGGTGATAAACATCTCTGGGGCCGCTGATGAGTTTGTTCTGAGCATTTCTTCACACACTGGTATATTTCAGCGTCTGTACGGCAACAGAGGGATTTAAAACCTCTAAATAAAGTATGGGTTCTCAATTCTTTCCTTCATGAAAGAGCAGATGCTCACAATTCAAGCTCGCGTTCGATTCTGTTGCCCGCGGGACGCGATTTCTATCAGAAAATCGACTTTTTTTTTTTCTCTTTCGGTTCCGCTGTACGACCCCTTGTCCTCTGCTCCCATTTTTCGCCGGAGCAGACGACCCCTTGTCCTCTGCTCCCATTTTTCGCCGGAGCAGACGACCCCTTGTCCTCTGCTCCCATTTTTCGCCGGAGCGGGGCATGACGGGATTGCATTTGGGCGCACGCTTGATTTTCTCCATTTTCTCGGTGCAGAATGTGCATGCACGCGTGGGGTGTCGGCGCTGAAACGAACTCGGAGGGTGCAAGAACTCGTGGAGTGCCGGCCGAAGTGGGCACGCGTGGGCACAAGTGCTGTGAAACGAACTCGCTATTAGAGGAGCTTCTGTCCCGAAATGCGAACTTGCAAATGGTGTTAATTTTTAGGAGAGATGCCGGTTTCAGGTACAGAGCGCCCTAAAAGCTCGAGTTCCGATTTTCGAACTATCCTCAGGTGCGGGGCGTATCTTGCACCGCAGAACTTTCGGTATGAGGAACAACATCGTTTTGCTCTCGTCAGACCACCACACCACTGGAAGCTCACGGTTTAATCGCGACTGTCTATCATTCCTGTTTTGTCATTTCTCCACTCTTCTAGTTGTTTCAGATTGTAATGCGTCGTTTTCTTTTCGTTCCGCGTACCGAATTTGTCAACTATGTGGCTAAAGATGAGAGTAAACGAAAAAAAAAAGTATAACTTACCTCCTTATTCTCTACTTTTTTACAATTTTCGTAGAGATGTCAACACAAGTTTTATTGGTTTGTTTACGTGACCTCATTCTGAACTACAAAGTACAAATTGAAAACAGTCTTTTTTTTTTTTTCAGCTTCTGGTGTTTGTTATTGGTCAATATTTCTTTATTGTACTACGGTGCATCTGGAGCACGTCTACAACCAACACCACCTAGAAACACAAAAGCACATGAATAGCATTCTCTCCACGTAACTTCGATGCACTAGGATGGCCCCAACGGGTGGCACTCAGTGGGTTCAATGACGTTTTAGCCAACGCCGAGTTTTCATTGAAAGACACTTTAGCGAATGGTCGGCCGCCGCGAAGCGGCGTTTACAGGTGGGTTAATGTTTTTGTAATGAGCCGCCACAGACTCTTGCCACGAAGCGGCATGAATGCAGGGGGGGGTTAACACGCACCCCGGTAATTTGCTAAAACGTCATTTGCTCATGTGATATAGACCCACGATGAAACAGGGGACGCTACGAGCCTTTCGAAGCTACTGGGAGCCGATCCAATGATGTGCGGGCGTATGTGACCTTTGGGAGGGGCGTCTGGTCATGTGATACGTACGAAGCACTGGATTGTCAGGGACAGCTTGTAGTGTCCGATGCGTTTACCACACGTCTTCATTTTGTGCCAACGATGTCGTAAGTGCCACCGACACTCGTGGTCTTGGCAGAGGCACAGCCAGTGGACTCTCGCCTTAAAACAAAAATACGCACGCACACCCCAAACATTTCTTTTTATTGAAAATCACAGATTGCCGCACCGTGGCCGTTTCTGTCCTATGTACAGGTAGGTACCTTCGGGGGGCACATTACACGAAGCCGCGCCTTCACCGCCGCCTCAGCTGCCGCGGCCATCGCACGACCGAACCGGCAGTGGGCGCGGAGAACACACACAAGTACACGCACCTTCCACGCACCGCGCCACTCTTTTTTTTGTACAAAATGTCCAAGTCGCTGGCTTCCACCACTACGTTTGGGTCCCGCTTCGGCCACTTTATTACGACAGGTGTTCTACAAAAATACTGTTGGCGACCGCAGCAGGGAGGGGTGGGGGGAGATTCACATTTTGGGAGACCGACGGCATCTATAGGTTTCTATAGGAGTGAGGGGGCCGAAGAAACGCCAAGTTGTTTTGCGTACGTGCGCCAAGAGACGTTACGACCACCTCGACTCCAAAGGGCAGCAGTGTCGTCTTCATGCACTTCAGCTGCTCCTCCGGAAAACACTGTCCCGCAAAAAAAAAGGAAAACTCCCAACAGTTACACGACTTTGAAAACGACTTCTTATATCACACTTCAACGTAAAACGCGATGAAAGATGTGTTCGCTCCTTTTTTCATTTTAAATAGTGACCTACAAACAGATATAAACAAAACAAAACATACTTGCCGCCAAAGTGACGAAACTGAAGAAATAAATAGTGGCCGAGTTTGGTCATTCCAGTCCTGTTACCCAGCAGTTACGATGAGTATGTCCAATCTGCTCATCCCTCAGATAGTTAAATTAAGAATGGTTTATACATGCAAGCTCAGAGTCAAAATTTCCCACATGTATACAACCGAGTGGTGGAAAATGGCCAGTGTGTATTTATGAAATCTAAGTACTTTCTGAACAAAAGGTACACGAGGCCATTTGCTTCGGACACACAACTGTCTTGGCGTGAGTTCACATAATTTTTTCGAGGCCGTAATGTAACAGTTTATCGTTAGCAAGTGCTCATTGTTAGAGAGTGCTTTCAGCGTCGTTTCTCGGTCGCGAGAGTGGAATAACCGGATGCAGCCTTTAACTTCACATCTGTTCACAGCTGTGTGAGATATCAAACATGGCGACAAAAGCTCGACTTATTTGCACGAATCTTCCCCTAGCGCAACAGAATAAAAAAAGGATAATTCAGGAGTGACGTACAGACCACTGAATCAACCCGGTAGCGAGAAAGATTGTTCAGAGTTCTTTTCTTCTTCTGTACCCAGGGGAAAGTCACGGAATGGACACAGCATTCACTTCGAAATCAACAACCGTGTTAACAACTCGCCCTCTGATTGGATGTAGATCTAAAAGTAAATCTGCTCAGATATCAGAGTTGGTTTCGTGTCACATTTGAACATATTATCACCTGTAGCTGTGTGAATAGTTCCCCGCCATGGTCCAAAAAATGTATTCTTTTTGTGTACACAGGCTTAAAGTTTATTGGTTATCTGGATGCATTGCAGTTTTTATTTGGATAAACATTTTATCTGTCTCTCTGGGTGTGGATTTATTTGTTGGGATAGCATTAAATGCTTATTAAAGCGAGCCCAAGTTAATAAAAAAAAAAAACTGACAATATGTTTTCAAATACAGCACTGCAATCCGAGCCATCAAAAATGAAGAAAGCTATAATTTTAAAAGATAATGAACAAATGTAAACATCAATATTTCCGAGAAAGCTCTCTTTGATGGACAATGAGCACACCTCCAATCAATTTGATGAACAGTCTGTTTCTGCATTCTTCTTTTACTTGGCCCCGGGCGACCAGTCATGGTCCTCAAAGTAAAAATAACTGAAGGATACCTACCAGAAATGATTCGGTCCACATGACAAGATAAACGAACGCTTCGCGACCAAGCACGAACATCGGCAATAAAAATTCCTCAGTTGACCATTCTTCCCAAGGTGGAAAGTCATCAGCTGCCAAACACAAAATGCGTATAATGCTGAACAAGTGACAGTGCCTTCATTATTGCTGAGTCCTTCGAGAACCACACTGCAGCAGCACAAATTGGCGAGCAATGTCGGGAAGGAACACAACTGCACGCAACGCACCGCACTGCGGGGGAAAGGGGGGAGGTTAACTTGATATGGCACTAGATGGGCAGTCAAGAGTTTGCTCTTGTTCAATCAACGCAGCTCAAAGAGGGTTGATGTGTTCGGGCAACTTCCACGGGAACTATGTTTGCACGTCTTCGCCACAAAGTTCCTGTAGACATATCTTAAGGATGACATCAGGAAAAGGCTACTATCATGGACCCCTCCTCAAGCCATCTTAAAATGGACGACTTCAGCAGACATCTGCAGTCATGATCGAGGCGCCTCAAAGACTGATGTCAACAGATGTCTCAAGAAGACAGCTTCAGGAGGCATTCTCAGTGGATGTGCCCAGCAGGCACTGTCATCTGATGTCCTCAGTAGATACATTCAGCCCGCAGATTCAGTGGAAGTATTAAGAAGATGCTTTCAGCAGATGTCTTCACCAGATGCCTTCAACTATGTTTCTTGTAGACGTCTTCAGAGTATGTCTTCCAGCCTGACACTTTCTGAGAGTCACTGCTAGATTTGTATGATTGGAGTGCTCAACACAACATGTGCAGGTCATAGGTCAGCACCGTGACCCCAACAGGAACCCCTAGGAGGCCATGGGCTTCCACGGAGTAACAGTGCTGCTTTGGCCTCCAGTTCGAAGAGCGGTCAGCTGTTCCTCGCCGAGCCGTATCTTGTCATCAATCTCACGGGCATCCACAAGCAGCTTGGACTTCATGCGCACAAAATGGCCATAGTCTGCATACTCCTGAGGACTCAGATACCTCCGCAAGAACAAGGCCACTTGGCGGCTGCGCTTGTCGATGCTTTCCTTGAGCCGCCGCGCCTCTTCGTGCTGACTTGTCAGCTTGTCCCGCTTGGCTTCCAGGGCACGCTGCAAGTACAACATTGTGGGCATTAGATGATGTGGTATCCTTTATGAAAACACTGCTATACACCAACTCATGTTTACAAACAAACCGAAGCGCCCCTAGCGGACGTCACCCGCGCTGTGCATGCGCGGTGGATGGTGGGCAAGAAGTCTGCCGTCGCCCATAAACAAACCATTGATTTGTGTTGTTCTCGGCGTTGGTGGGAGTCCCCGTGCTCTCTTTCGCATTTGAATTGTTGATTCTACGTCCTCCTAACAATGTCTGACTACTTGAGCGGCTTCAGCAAAATTAATGAGGCAAAACTTTGCGTGAATAATGCGACTTGCGGCGATTCATTTCACGCGGACGCCGCAGAATGGGCACTAAAGCCTGACTCGCACAATGAGATTCTGCTCGCTATTTTCAGTCGCGACGTCGCATGGGCTGCAAATGCGTGGACCGTAGCTGAGATGGTGGACGTCGATACTGAAAACCACAAGTAGAATCGGGCGTTACAAATCGGTGATGGCCACTGGTAACAATGATCAACATCTTCTTGTATCTATTGTTTACACTTAGCCTAGTTACCCAAACCAAACTTCAAAAGTGTTTTGAGGCCTGCACTTAATTCTTATCGCAATTAACGGGTCAACGTTTGGTTTACGGGCCGCTGTTGTTTGAACGAGCTGACGACAAAAAGCAGAGTTTGAAAGAGCAGACAACAGTTCGAACGCTTGCGCAATGAAGTACGGGCAAGAAGCACTGCGTCCCGGTTCAACAAACCATTGGAATGTCACGTTGTTGGCGTCTGTGTGAGTCTGCATACTCTTTTTCATGTTAGAATTGTTGATTCTATGTCCTCATAGCAATGTCTTACCACTTTAATCGCCTGAGCGAAATTATCAAGGCTCGTTACACCGCTAAACTTTGCGTAAATAATTTGACGTGCGGCGATTCATTTATGTGAACGCCGCAAAATGGACGCCAAAACCATGATGAGATTCTTTTAGACATTTTCGGTCGCGATGTTGCTCGTGCTGCAAAAGTGTAGAAGGTAGAGGCGATGGTCGACGTCGATACTGAAATTCAGAAGTGGGAACAGACCAAGCGCAACAAGTCGGTGGTGGCCACTGGTGCCAATGATTAACATCTTGTAGTGTATCTACTGTTTACACCGAGCCTACTTAAGTCTTTTGAGGCCTGCAATTACTTCTTATTACAATCACCGGGTCAAAGTTTGGTCTACGGGCCGCTTTTGTTTGAACGAGCAGACGACAAAAAGCAGACGAATTCAAAAGAGCAGACGAAAGTTTGAACGATCAGGCGGCAGTGTGAATTTGAAGACGCACTGAACCCGCGGGGGGCCTGGACAACTTGGCGGTTTTCTGTCGTTCATGTTGGAACAAAACAAATACATCTGGCGACCACAAAGTGCTGCCCGCACAAGCAATCGTAGTTCGACAGCGTCTGGTTTACCCTTTTCACGGCTACTATCCACATACTCGGATGAACGGAGCGGGCAGAAACACATGAAAACTGATCTTCAAACCTTTCCAGACTCTCTTGGTACAGCCCCTGTCGCAACATTTTGACGAGAACGCGGTTTTTTTTGTCTGGTTTCTCCAAAAAGAACACAAGATTGCATGTCTCGCACGGCGACTTCTGCCCGACTTGCCACCACCGCGGCGTGACGTAGGAGAGTTGAGTTCGTGTATACTCTTTTCTGTACTTAGAACAGGCACATATCCAGGATTTTGTTTTGGGAGGGGGGAGGGGGGGGCCACCCATGACAAAATGCTGCATGAGGGGGAGGGGGAGAAGAGGCCCCAGCAAAATGGAAGATTTCGGGGGGGGGGGGGGGGGGGGGGGGGGGCCTGGGCTCCATGGGTCGTCCCCCCCCCCCTGGCTACATGCCTGACTTAGAATGTTGGAGTCAACTAGTCTTCCATCTCTACATCCCTCGTGAAAAATACATGTGCACAAATACAACCCGTATCACTAGAGCCCTGCATATCTGCGGCTTATCCGCGGACCTCTGCAGATATCCGCAGTAAACTGGCAGATGTGGATAAAAATTAGACAAATTTTGGCGGATTGCGGATCGGATGCGGATGTCAGGGGCTGCGGATGCGGATATCCGCTGATCCGGATCTAAATTTTTGCCTTGTGGCATTCAGTTCGTTGACTGACTGCCACGGGGCAGTTCATCGAAAAACCCGAGACGTTTCGTCGCACACGACCCTGCTATTTTCGTAACAAATTTTTTGCGTCTCGCCTGAATTACAGGGGAAAGGGGGCATGGTTTGGTGCGCGCCTTGGTGAATCGCGCGCTAGCTTTTACCGGCTTAGTGAAGAAATGCGTTGTCGACAAAACGTCACAGGGGCATGAGCCCACAAAACGTACAGCGTTGACGAACCGTGTGTCCATGAAATGTATGTCCATGAAAAGTTGTCCACGAAACGTATGTCCACAAAACGCGTTTCGAAGAAACGATAGAGATCCTAAGAAAGATCTGATTTTCACTGAAGATCGCTTCAGTTAGTGCATTCCATCTCGTCAAAAATGCTATCTACAGAAAAAGTAAAGAATGCAGGGCATCAATAGTCCCTAGAAAGCTGGTACATTGGCAGGGAAAGAGCGGAAGACTTTCTCCGGGCAGAGACTCCTAGGACGGTCACATAACAGAGATAATTTTTCCTTCGACGCGCAGTGTTTCGGGAAGGCTGATCGCTTTTAATATAAATACGATAAAACTGAGAATGATAAAATGACATCCCCTTTGAATGGTGTCCCAAAGATTTCTTTGTACAAAGATAAGCAAACAACTTAAAAAGTGCTATTTGTATTATTTTTTTTTCATTCACGCTTGATGTTATGATATATCGGGTGATTCAAGGAGTGGCCAGGCTCTTTAAATCGACTGCGAAATTCAATTTCTTAACTTATCGCGTTCCGATTTTGTACAGTGTTGGCCACCAGGTGGTGCATTTTTTTCAATAAAATTCGCAAAAAGTGAGCTTACCTGAGGAAAAAGTAAAAAAAGAAAAAGGCTTAACTCCTATGGCAACGCAGCGAAGCCGTTGGTCTTAAACCATAGGGCGCCCAATGGTTTGAAGACCGATGGCTTTGCTCCGTTTCCATAGGAGTTAAGCCTTTTTCTTTTTTTAGTTTTTCCTCAGGTAAGCTCGCTCTTTGCGAATTTCATTGAAAAAATGCACCACCTGTGGCTAACGCTGTACAAAATCGGAACGCAATAAGTTAAGAAATTGAATTTCGCAGTCGATTTAAAGAGCCTGGCCACTCCTTGATATTGCCCAGTACAATGAATGCCTGAATTGTGAGTCGGATGTGGTTCCACATTTTGCGGATGCGGTTCGGATACGGATACAAAGAATGCGGATCGGATACGAATACAATAATGTAAAAAGTTTGCGGATGCAGTTCGGATGCGGATACAAAGTCTGCGGATACGGATCGGATGCGGATAATCAAACTGTTATTCGTGCAGGGCTCTATATATCACCGTACTAAAGACCCATATGATCCGGGAATCGAGTAGTTTTAGCACCATATTTTACAATTTTAGGCGATCCAAAACAACCTTCATTATCCTACAGATGGATTTTTTGTGCGCATAAACTGCAGAGGGTATTTTTGGTGCTATGTATCGTATTCATTTGGTTATATTATTGCTAATTAGAAAATTATTAAAGATAGGGGGAAGAAAACAATGCCAGTTATTTGTCATCTGGCAGGGAAAATATTCGCAACTCCGAATCCCTATAGATGGCGGGGCGGTAATTCCCAAGATGGCGAAAAAAACAGGGATAGGTTTCCAAGATTTACCGTGCACCTGCTCGCTGACGCTGGGCGGTGCGCTGAAATTAATTTATTTGGCTACAAATACAAAGAGGTCAGGGCAGGAACATATACCACAGGTGACGGAAAAGTTCCTCTGCCAAACGGCAAACAAGACTCTAATACTGTTATAAACTGCAAAAAACAATCACACGCAAATATTACGAAAACCTACAGTTGTGCCCTAAAAGTGATATTGTGCTTCCGCGTCGTTGGAACCGGAGTGAAGCCAACATTCGCTGTTCTTTGGATCGACAGCTGCACAAGAACTACCTTGACTATCGTATTTATCCAAATATAGGCCCGCATTTCATATTGAAGCATGTATCGTGCTAACCGATAGGCTCGACCATGTCAACCGCTGCTCCTAGCACTCCGGTGCAAAGCCGCGAAGCTTGATGTGCAGGAGCTGGTGCTAGCTGCGGCACACAGGCATACGACAGGCATGATAATCAAGTGATCTCACCGGGAGTATAAGAACCAAGCTTTGTCTTAGAACAGTAGCTGCACATTCTACTATTTTGCAATATTTTATCGCGACTTTTAGCTCCTGATATAGCCGACATTGTCTGGAAATTTAGATGATATCGGCGATCAACCTGCTGCCAGCGTCTGAGAGATGAGCAATATCTAAACTTTGTTTCACCTCAGTTCAAAGTGCAGCCAAAGCTAAAAAAAAACACTCGGACCGACCAGACAGCGTCAAAGTTTGACATCATGGCATTCGTCCATCTATCTGTATGTGTTCTTCCATCGGCTAAACCAATCACGTTCAATAAAAGTCCCGCAATTTGTACTTTTAGCATGTGTGTTCGCCTAAGATGAAACAAACAATATGGTGAAAAGAGACGCTGTGAAATACATATTCGTACCATTTTCATTTCGTCCTACTTCTCCGAATATTAGGGCCGACCAATAATCAAGCATTTTATATTTTTTTGCTCTTAAGCCCATTTCGGCACAGGTGTGGTGCAATTCTCAGCAAAAATGGCACTTTGGCGCGAGACGTAGCAGACTTTTGTTCATGGCACAATTTGGCGCAAATGGCACAGCACTTCCACCACTGCTTATATCTTATCTGTACTGACCCACAGCACTGCACGAAGTGAAGTCCCTACCCGCTTGCATTCTACTATTTCAACATCGCATTTGTGCATGAAGTTATATCCTGCCAATCATATAGGCACATTCACACATACAAACCATTTTAAGAAATTAAGAGTTAAGCACTTCTGTGAAGAATGTCGCACCATTCGCCAGACGTGCGCAGAACACGCGTGAAATCCTATGTTGTGCACCAAACTAATGAAATTATTCAAAGTGCATTTGACGGTTGCTAATGGCCGTAATATTCGTTAAGTGATTGCTTCCTTCCTAATTGAGTATGCCGAGATAATTTAAGACACACCGTCCAAACACAGATCTTGGGCGTTAGTAGTCCAAAAAGGCTTAGCGAGAGGTAGGGGGCGTTTCTTAGGGACTCCATCGTAGCTAGCCGATCTCAGCGTTTGCGAAACCTCAATCTCCCATCAGCCTAAAATTTTAGTGGGATATATATGATGACACGAGGAAGACATCATAGTAACTTTTGTGCAGTAGTGAGGTCGAATTTATTGAGTTTCCTTCAAAGTTCATGCGCCAACGCTAGGCTCAACTTCGATACTCCCGTGAGGGTGCGGTTTGTTTTTCGCCCAATGAAGTAACAAGAAGCGGACGTTTGGGAAACAAAATACTTGTAGGGCTCAAGGTGACCAAATTTCAGTTGTAGTTCACTGGTACTAGACAGGATTATTAAAATTGAGCTCAAAGATGTAATCGTTGGGTGAGGCGACTAAGCCACGTCTTACTACGTTTGCATACGCATGCACAATATCTGGTGTTTTGGGAACCAAAGAAAGTGCCCCGGTCTTCGTTTTGTACCGCTCGAGAATGAGGGTATTGTACATTCATGAAAAGTCAGATAATTGAAAACTCAAGCAGCGCATTTGGTCACGGCGTGATAGCACGAACTGAAGCTGCTCAATCAAAACCGAAAGTGAGTGACCAACCAGTTCCCAGAGTGCACCCTGTGGCAATTTGCCGCGATGGGGCGCTTCAAATCTTGGAAGAAGCCTATTCCTATTTTAACGCACTCACATTTTTTTTTTTAATTACATGATGCCTGAACGCACCGACCAGAGAATGCGGCAAGAGCAGCACCAAAGCTGACAATTCCCGCCACCGTCTCCGCCGTCGTTCCCGCTCCTCTGGTTCTTTATTCATCCGCAAGAGGGCAGACGATGGGCTGGAGTTGCGAATACAGTAGTCAACCATAAGCAAACATCAAAACGATTTCTGCAGTCTCCTTTTGAGAAAAATTCCATGGTTCTTTTGTATACGGTATTAATGTATATGATCATAATGGTGGAGATGTTTTTTTTGTTTTTTTTTTAAGGAAGATGTAAATGTGGAGATGAAGGCTTTTATGAAATTGTGCTGTAGATGTCAATTCTGACTAATATTATGAAGTCAGTGAGGCACTATTTCTGTTCACCATCTAGAAGCCCTTGAGAGTCAACACATTGTGATGATGTCTCAATGACCTAACCGACGAGCAATTTGTTAATTGGATAGGCATGATGAACCCAGTGGCATCACAAGGAAGAGGCTGGGGGGTGGACGGCCCCAGGTGCAGCGCTCCGGGGGGGCGTCGCGGTAGGCGACGAGCGGAGGGGGGGTGGGGTGGGAGGAAGTTGCAATAGGCGACAGGCGGGGGGGAGAGTCACGGAGGGCCACGAGACAGGGGGAGGAGGGGGGAAATGTCGCCGCGGGCCAATGCCTTGAGTGCCGCTGACCCCAGTGACACCACAAGATGAACTTATCCGACAAACAAACCATTTTAACATTCTAAGCATCCGACGAACAGTTTGTTCACAAGTTAGGTCAGTGAGAAAGCGCACGTTGAGGAAGTGTTGCCGAAGCTCACTGCCAAAGAGTAGTCTGAGGCAATGTACCCAGCTATGGCTGCCAATCAAAAGTAAAATTAGAGGGTTCGACCACCTGAGAATTTTTCGACGTGCAACCGAAATCTAGGTCACGCGGCACCCTCTCCGCAACAAGACTCTGCTAAATTGCAGGCACCTTGGCCGGGATTCGAACCAGCCACCCAGGGATCTGTAAGCCGGCGCTCTGCCTAGGAACCACCGAGGTGGCCATAGCCGCAAGTGAACACCATCTGCTGCAAGACATTGCAATGGTCCAGCCATGATACCCACCCGTTCTTGCGAGGCCTCATCCGCAGGCAGTCCCGTCAGCGCGTTGTGGACACGGGCCAGCCGTCCAGACAGTGAGAGGAGCAGGTTGACGATCTTGTCCAGTTCGTCCACGTGGAGCCTAAACTTATCCCGCTCGGCCGGCCTTGCCAGCAGGTCCACGCGCACGGACAGCGCCTGTCCCAGTTGCTCATTCTGCGAGGCCTCATCTCGGAGCGAGACGCGTTCCACACGGAGCACGTCCAGCTTCCGGGCGATGCTCGCCATCAGCTCCTCCTGCGCGCAGAAAAGAAGAGGGGTTATGCTCCATCGTGGGTTTTCAAACTGGGTTCCTAGGAACCTCGTAGATGCTAAGGTTCCCGAATTTCTCAAAGCTCCTCAACTGCCCTATTTCGAAAATGTTTTTTTTTTTTCCACTATTTTTTCTACTTTTTTACTTTCCACTATTTTAGCAGAATGAAACAGCCATTCGTATTGTTTGGTTGAATCACGTTTCGTGAAAACACGTTTTGTGGACAGGTTCTTGTAGACGCGCGTTTCGTGGACAGACGGTTTGTTGACACTCTATATATCGTGGAAGCTTGTTTCGTGGACATGTGCACCTGCGACATTAAATCAACAACATATTTTCTTTACTAAGCCAATTAAAGCTAGTGCATGATATCCTGAGACCTGTTAACACCCCAAGCCTTGCCCACTTTCTCTCGCCCAGTAAACCAGGCAAAATGCAAAAAAGATTCTTGCGAAAACAGCAGAGTTGTGTTTAACAAAATGTTGCAAGATCTGCCAATGAAACAAACGTGGGAAGCCTTTCGATAAAGCAAAGTGTCAATGAAATGTCGCGTATCGATGAAACGTCGCTCAACGAACTGATTGATACTGACCTGAAATCATCCACATGTGCCTAGTGCAAAACTATGTACCAAACACTCCCCTGGTATATTAAATATATTTTAGAAGTTCTGTAGGCTTCCGTGCGGCTTTATTGCAACCGTGTCGAAACCTGGAGCGGTTTCTTCAGCCATCAATCATAAGAGGTAGGTGGTCCTCGAGATTGAAGAGATTGAGAACCGGTCTCTTTCATGTGTTTCAAGCATCGTCAAAATGGTGGATTTTTTGCGTAGTTTTGATTTAGCCGTTCTAGCGTTTCATTTGCATGAAGGGATTACAATCGAAACCAAGTAACTTATAACAACCCAGAAAATAGCGAAATATCAAATAAGAGGAAATAATATTTGTTGGAGAATCCTGCTGGCCCTTTTGAGTGTAATTTTAGTAGACTTTTAACGAACAGAATTATGACGGCGTCATAGATATAAGAAGAATGTTGGCAAAACCGAGAAACCTTTTTTTTTTTTTTTTGCCACACCAAATATAAATATTAACCCCCCCCCCCAAAAAAAAAAAAAAAAATAGTTTTTTTAATGTTTACTTTGCTCTGAACACGAGGAAAAGCACGAGGCGCCCCGCGGTTGGGCGACACGTTGCGCCGCTCTGCGCCGTCGGGGAAAAGTTGATGAAAAGCAACTCTCCAGCTCTCCGAGAGGCGGCGCTGTTGTCTGAGAGAGCGCGCATACGCACACACGCACGCGCAAGCAACGCGCGCGTGTCAACCTCCTCCCATTACGTTTTTTCTTCTTATTTTATTTGTACAACGTAAGTTTTGTTTTTCGTTTATCTAGAGTATAGGTTTCACCAACTTTGCGCGAATCTGGGTGTTCCAATTCCGCAGATGCACTCGCGGAATGAAGCAGCTGTGCGAGAACTGCTTCACACTTAACACTGTTCCCGCTCCGCGGCATTACCGGTCACTGCATGATCCCGAGCTTTTTTCGCCGTCCGCTAAAAAGGGTACAACCAAAATTGCGACCGGATTTCAGCGACACGTTCACTAGCGGTGAAAACCGGAGAACGTGCATCTTGCATATCTGCAGCCCTCCAAAGTTCGGCTTTCCCGCAGCACGACCTATCTAGCGGAGAAGCGCATCTCCAGTTAACGCGCACGCGAGCGTCGACGTATTCATTGTCATAAACAAAAATACGGCTCTGTGGCAGCTACTCTGCACTGAAAGCTTGCAGAAATAGGGGAGTAGCTATTCAGAAATTTGCGAATTCCGGATATAGCGGATATATTGATTCCCAACGACGTCCTCAAAACCGGGTTGGACTGTAAGTGTTTACCGTGTGCACTTCTCAAAGAACCATATACTACATCAGCCGAATAACGGCGATGTCTTTCGCTTAAAAAAAAAAAAAAAAAATAAAGCTAACTATCGTAGAAAGCTGTTACAATACGTGAAGATAACTATCATCGGCAGATTCGAAGGTGAAGGTTCCAGTTTATAACTCGGTGCAAAACAACATTTGTTAGGAATCTTTAGAAAGGTGCAAGTAGAGAAGTAAATGAGTATCTGTTTGCGTCCAATGAAGAGGTACCATCTTCCCGCCGAAAATGCTTAAAAATCTAAATCTCATTTTTGATCTAGGTAACGTTGAAGTCGAAAAATCTTTAGCTCCTCGTTACTGTTTACTTTATTTCTGAAATGCGAAACACCCTGTGTTTTATTTTTCTGCCACTCTTGTTACCAGTGTAAAGTCAGGTGGTCTCAGTTTACACCATGCTTCTTTTCTCATACGGCCTCCAGTCTATATAATTAACTCCTATTTTCTTTACGAATGGCGTAAAGGAAAGAACTAAAAATAAAAATAAGTTTCGGGGTTGCATAAACACCGCATGTTACGGGCCGTCCACACAGGACACGATTCACCACGTGTTGTACCGTTCACGACCTTTAGTGGAAGCGAGTGTAATTCTTTCTTTGCTTCCATTTCCTTTTCAAATGAGTTTTAAAGGAGGGGAGAGCGGGCGTCCGCTTGCATCCTTGGAATAAGCTCATGGCGTAGGCCAAAGGACGCGACCAATCACACCTTATTTTAATGTGAAAGCATTAACTGGGGGGTCCCACGGAGCAAGCGGCGTTATCAGCTTTTGAAGCCGCGCCAAACGGCACCTAAATTCCCCTCTCCCATGGAACCAAGGCTATAGTCTGTAGCAGCCACCCCATCGGCTGGCGCGCGGCGTAGTTCCAAGAAACGCCACCCCATAGAGAGGCCCTCTCCATGGCGGCGCAGCGGCCCGGTCGCCGGTAAGAGGGAGGCGGCCGACCGCAGAGCCGGCAGAGCCCGCCCGGGCAGACTCCGGAGGAGCTGCACGGCCGAGCTCAGCGCGGCGCACAGGTTGTAGGAATATGCTACGTATACAAATGCTTTCGCATTCCGACACGTTAGCAGTCTTAAGTGTCTGTTTAGTTTTTTTTCTTCAGGTTGTCAATCACAAGAGCCTCTAAGGGTTACTGTCCGTCCAAAAACTTCCCGAAAACTAAAAAGGGGGAAACGATGTCGTGGGGGCACCTCCGTTAGCGTTCGACGGCTGACTGACGTCATTTGAAACTAGTGCTTTTTCGTGCCCGGCAGCGTGACTGAATGTCTTGCACGAATGAAATTGGGCACCGCGAGGACAGGCCTTTACTACCGTTACCCTTTTACAAGAAGTCACGACGTCACTCCGGTTACACGCAGGGCGTCGTCTCACCTTCCGGGCGGCGAGTTCGCAGTCGGAGGCCCACTCCTGCTTTCCGATGTCCGGTCCGAACCTGGTCAGGAACCTGGCCTTGGGCTCGGACGTCGTGAAGTACGCACTGTTTGGGGGCAGGTTCTCGTCTCTGCACAGACATTTCGCCCGTGGGCACGACCGCCATTACTCTACGTCATCCTGCTTCTACGTCCAATGGCGGAGGCCTGGCCACGCAAACAAGGGCGGAAGGCTGGCGACGCGAGAACGCGCATGGTAACAAAATCACCCGCGTGTTCAGGTCGCCAGCCTTCCGCTTCCTGCAAGAAACTTCGATTTAGGGGGTTTTCGATGACGCTCAGCAAGTTTCTTATTAAAAACATATATTTGTTTTCTCAAATTTAAAGTTAAATTGTACGTTTTAAGCAATAAATTTGCTAATTAGTTTTTTTTTGTGCTTTCTTATATTTGACGTCCTCCGTGGCTGGCAGTTTGTTCTCAAGAAGTTTTGTTTTTTGAACAAAGACTGTATTTTATCAGCCGATTTCCAGGGGGCTCAATAATGTTCGGCGCTTAAAGCCTTCACTCCCCCGGCAAGATTCGAACTGACCACCCTCAAATTATGAGCCAAGTGCTTGGACGAATGAGCTATCCTGGGCCGGGGGCCCGACCATGCAAAAGCGACCGCTCGACGCGCGAACGTGCGGTCGCGCGCTTCGCGGTCGCGCGCTTTAGGGTCCTTCCCATCATGGCTGCGCCATCTAACAGCGTGTGTCAGAAATGAGAGCGATTCTTCGTTCTTATCTCATTCGGATGCCCTTAATTCTCTTCTTTTTCCGGAGGGCTTAAGGCACATTCTGTCCTTACCAGTCTTTGTCAGCATGATCAAGCTCGTAGAATTATCTTTTCACAATCGCCCTATTTGTAGAAATGTTTTAAAAGTATTTGTAGAAACACCGGATACAGGTGAAGCGGTATGCACCTGAGTGTGATGCTACCCGTCGGGGCATGCTGATATGCGGGGGCGAGCGACGGAGCGGGCGGCGTCGGCGGCGAACCGGCCACCAGCTCCAGGTGGCCGTTCTGGCCGCAGGCATCCAGGTCCAGCAGTCCTTCCAAGTAGTCCGACGTCGTCTTCTGGTTCGGGGAGGGCACTGCGCCGCCGTACCCAAAAAAGAAACAAACAAAGAGTGAGATGTAGTCTCAGCACTAAGGTCGACGAGGGAATGATGAATGATCGTGAGTAACAAACACTGTTGAGGCTCCGTCCCCGAAATCCCAGAGAGAATTAACGTCAGTACTCCGAAGAACGCGCTCATTTCTTAACGGCACCAAATGAGTGCGACAATTAACAGCGTTTCTCAAAATCACAAAAAAAATTGCAATGTCTTATGTATATTGCGCGCGGCACTCTCAGGGCGAACGCATTATAACGTCCTCGACGCTTTTTCGCGTTTTACTTCGAAAGAATAATGGCGGGCATCCAAATTTACCACTTAGGTTGGTGCTTCCCCTGAGCACTCACCACCACTACAGTAGTTCTGATGACAGTCCTTCAACACTAAGAAAAAACAGAAAACAAAAACTGGCGACGATTCGTTCGCGCCAAAAGTGTCGCGGCGTGTACCTCGGCGCATTGAGCGTTCTGTGACTTTAATACTGAGCAGTTATTTTTAGCTGCAATAAACTCTGCACAGAGTGAAAAAAAAAATGAAAGCCATTTACAACTTCCTGTAACGCCGAATTAGAGCGTAGCTCTTGAGGAGGAGGAGGGAAAGATACTGAGGGGAAGGTATACCCCTCCTCCCTCCTCGTCACGTGCTCATCCAGTCTGCTACTTTTCCCTCCGAGCGACATCGCCGTCGCCTCACGAGGGTCACGTGACCTCACGGGGGTCATGTGACGTCAACGGGGTCACGTGATCTCATGGGGGTCACGTGACGATGGCGTCATCGTCATTAGTGACGACGACGATGCGAATGCCGATGATGTCATCAGTGACGTCACTGATGACGTAATCAGTGACGATGACGATGTCGTCATCAGTTACGTCACTGATGACGTCATCAGTGACGTCACGCGTCCCATAATGCACCGCGCGGTTACGCCGACGGCGATGTCGACGCCGACGGCGACGGCAACGCCGCTCAAGCCGGAAACGGGCGCCTAAGAGCTGCGCTTTAAAAGGAAGAGAAAAGTGGTGCGTCGTGTGTTTGTGGATACTGGATTACGAGGAAGGGGACCAACCCCACAACGAAGATGATGTCTACGATTCCGCGGGACTCGCTTATTTATTAATTTTTTTCGAACTCCACGCGTGTTCAAAGAGACGCTCGGAGAGGGGACAGGGCTGCCGCCGCGATGCCGAGATACTTCGGCGCCAACCTTCTCACCGATACAGACGAGTGAATAAAAAAAAATCGCTCGGATAAGAAAAACAAAGAACCCCCCGCAATCGATGCGTGTTCGATCACGCATCGCTCGCGCGAGAGCGCTCGCTCGGTCGTCACCACGCCGCCAAAGAAAGCGGACGTCCCCCCCCCCCCCCCCCCCCCCCGCCCATCTCTTCCCTTACTCCATTCGTTGGTCGTTTTGGGCGTTACGTGCGCATGTTTTTATTCCTTTATTTTTTCGGCATCCCTTCCTTTTTGGTGTTGGTGCCGAAGGTCGGCCCACCGAGAAGGGGAGCTCCGTTGAATAATATATAGAAGAAAGGAGAATGCAGGACGCCTTATCGGAATTGAATAAGCTTCGGAGGACGGGAAGAAGGGACCGGGCCCGCGGGCTCAGCGGCGATTTCGGAAGTGCTGGATAGCGAAGGAGACCGCGCTGATAGACGCCGATATTAGACGTCGGGAGGCTAAGAACTGCGGGGCGGGGCCACGAGGTTTCGAAGCCGAGGTTTTTGCACTCTAACTGGCTCGTTCATCTCCTTTTGCGGCTACACAGATCCCTTTCGAAAGGGACCCCATAGAAACACTGCTAGTAACACATCATTTCTAGATCATGTAGGTTTAGAATCTGACATCCTGCGGTGTCGCCATTGCTCCGCTATCGTACACTGTTTCAGACCTTTTAACAATAAGCACGTGACTTTCGAGTGTTTGGCAACTTAACAACTTTTGTTAAGTTGCCAGGGACTATTAGCGACGTCCGCATCCACAAGCATCGCTGTGGTCGAAGTTCCCGATCGGCCAAACCATTGCTTCCTGTATTTTGATAATGTCCGCCCAATCGCTGGTTCATGGCGACGCAAATGTCGACAATCACGGCGGGATAGAGGAAAATCCTGCATATCATGGCGAGGCAAATCCTGGTCGTAACGTCACGAAAGGAAACCACAAGAAAGCGCCACTGAAACATTTCGGCGCTAATGAGGAGAGCAAGTCGTCTGCTTCCTGCGCAGTTGATATTATGCCAGTACGCCGAGCTCTTATTGGCTGATTGAAAAACAATAGTGGGTAGACCTCAAGGCTAGCATTGAGGTCTACGCTCTATCCTTGCAATCAAAGCCAATCAGCGCTCGGCGTCCTTCTGACGTCACCGCAACTCCTGCACAAGAAGCAGACGACCTCCGCTTAGAATCGCTTCGCAGACGAATGTACGGGCTCCTGTTGGCGCGTGCGCGGTTGTATTCTTGGGGAGCACACGCAGTGGCGGCGACGACATTCGACAGCCGTAGATTTGAGCGTTGGCCAAAATAACCACCGAGGGTCTCGGACAGAACTTTTTTCTCCCTAAACGAAAGCCGAAAGGGGTCCCCGATTGAAAAATAAAAACAGAATTTCGATGTCAGCATCTTACAATGTTTGCGTCTTAAGTGTTCTTTCGACGTTATTAGTAGGAGCGTTGTAATGACCAATTAAAGGCACCGCCCATTGCTGCGCGCCAAGCGCTGGAGAGCGCGAAAGCGAAGTTAGCAAAAGCTACGTCATCGGCGGTGTCATCTGACACCGCCGATGTCGGTCAGATGACCATCATCGGCCGAACAAGGGTCCGATGACCCTTGTTCGGCTCGCTGCATGGCCTGCGACAGACGCTGCACTTATTTCTCAAAATCAATGCGATCTACGTTTGCTTCTGCCGAAGCTCGTTGCGATAACTCAACTCACGGAACGCCAAGCTGCAGAAGTCCGCTCCTAACTCAGATTTACTCACTTTCCCTTCAAAACAATCTGTAGTCACAGACAGAGTGTGAGCGGCGGGGAGGGGCTTCAACTGTCCCGCCTCCATCGCGAGGTGCCTACCTTCGACCACACTCGGACGTCCCGTGCACCTCGAGCGCGCTCGCGCAGCAAAAGCACGGTGGAAGGCACGGCGTGCATACCCAAAAAGCATGCTCTGCCGTTCTCACTCTGCCGGTGACTATCATTCGTTCACCGTGCTCGGCCACCTGAACTCACCGAGGAGCGAGCGCAGCGTGGCATCGCCGCCGAACCTGGACGCGAAGTCGTGCGAGAGCCTCTCGCACTCGAGCTCCTCTCGACTCTTGGCGATGCTCTTACGCCGCTGCTGGCCCAGCAGCGGGGACGCGGCGGCCTCGTCGGGGCTCGTCTGCGTCGCCGCGGTGTTGGTCGACCGAGACGCCGCCGGAGACGACGTCGCCGACGACTCGCAGCACCCGTTGCACGACGTTGACGACGAAGACTGGTCTCCGCTGCCCGCCGTCAGACTTGCGGCGGGGCTGCTGGGGACGACGCTGCCGGTTGTGAGGAGCGTGTTGTTGTTGTGGTTGACCGTGCTCGAGTTGTTGTTGTTTAGAGCGTCCGACTCGCAGCTCGTCACCGGTACGCTGTAAAAGGTAGCGTGAAAAAAAGAAGAAAAAGAAAAGAGGGTTAAGCTTGTACATACTCGCCCTGCATACCTCCTGTATTATAGCACTCTAAAGTCATAAATAGATTGCGAAAATGCTATAGTTTTTTAGATACTAATTGATTTATCTTCAAGTTTTTTTTTTAGCTTGATCAAAAATTGCGCTTTAAGGGAGCGCCGAAGCCCCGCCCACAATGACGCTTGGAAGAGTGATGTAGTCGTTTGAATCGTGTCGTCACTATCTTGGCATGCGTGTCCTTGGTGGGTGCGCCGACGACACGAGTCACCACGTAACTGAAACGACTACGTCTTTCTTCTAAGCGTCATTGTGGGCAGGGCTTGCGGAGCTCTTTTCGCGCGCAATTTTTAATTCGGGCTAAAAACGTGGAAAGCTATCAATTATTATCTTCGGAGCTGTTACATTTTTCGCAAATTATTTCGATCGCTCTGGCCCCTAGTAGTAATTGCGGTCAATGCTGCAATTGCAACATGGCCCCTAGAAACCAATCATTAAAAAGTTAAATAACCAGTTTTAGTTCACGAGCCAACTTACCACGACGACTATCTCCTCGTATAACGTCCACCGACACTAATAAATATATGCGAAAACGGCACTCGCCTTTAAAAACAAATTGTAAAAAAAATAATCATAAAAAATATTAGCGCAAAGGATAAGGACGAGTAGAAGACTTGACCGGACAGGGGCTTGTCCTGTCCAGCCTTCTGCTGTCCTTGTCCTTCGCGCTATTTTTTTTTTTAGATTTTTAAATTTAACTTAAGTATAATGCTAAAATCAAACACACGAACATATGGAATGAGCCGCCCATTGATTCAGAAAGATGTAAGTCGTATCCATCTGCGATATATATATATATAAATATGTGTGTGTGTGTGATGGACCACGCCAGACGCTACGAGCCATCAGAGCCAACCAAAAGAGTTCCCTTCTACAACCCGGCTAATATAGCAACGTTGGCTCTGAAGCATACGCTCTAAAAAGTGTCCACACGGGGTGTTTTCACGTGAGGTAAGTGCGTCATTTCGTCGTTAGATGTCAGCCTGATAAGACATACGTTTTTGTAAACTATAGGCGTTTGAGGGCGTCGTGTGAATCCTTGGAATGCTCGCCTTCAGCACGCGCCGGACAGCTCATAAAAACAAAATGGCGGACGCGTCAATAAAAACAACGTTCAGGCCCGTTTACACGAGAACGTTTTCTTGCGTTTTTTTTTTTTTTTTTTTTACTTTCCGTCATGACTTTCCGGGACATTCGTGCTTTGCATGGCGCGAGGAGAGCTACTCCTTGAATTGGTTGTCACGCTATGTACGAAGCACGATGTCACGGTGACTCTCACCGTAAGCAGTCGTATAGGCTCTCGTAACATGAGGCAAAGTAGGCAAACAAAGCTGTGAAAGAAGCTTGCTGGGGGCGCTTCTGTTCCTCACTCTGGTAGTGCACGTGCTACCCACGCGATTGTTTTAATTTACAGAGTGTCTAGAAGCTTGGCGTTGCACGGGCTTGCACCAGCAGACAGAAAAAGTCGAAGTATCCTCAGTCTGGGTTTCGAAAATTTTCACCAGGCGGCAGTACCGCGGGGCTCTGATGTCACACCGCGGCGGTGGCGCTGCTATCGACACCGTGCACGCGCAGACGCTGCACCTCACGTGAATCTGGTTTCCGCGCACGCGCTGTCGCCTGGTGTGTGCAAACACGTTTGTAAACAGCGCGTTGGCGTATAAGGAAGGAGCGTTGGGACAACGGGAGTCCGGACTCACGGCAGCAGGGTGACGGGGGACCGCGGCCCGTGGAAGGAGGTCTGACTAGCGGCGGCGTTGGAGACCGACGAGGCGGGAGGCCAGGAGGGCGGCGGGTACGCCAGCGGAGACGAGGGACACGACGACGAGGGGGACTCGGAGCTGGCCTCCTCCGACGTGGCCTCGGAGCCCTGGTCGGAGCCCGGACACGACTCCGGGCCGGAGTCCCCGCAGCCGCCGTGGTAGCTGCGCCGGTAGTTGCCCTGGAACCCCTGCCGCCCGGGCTTGCGCTCGCTCCGGTACCACATGTACGAGTTCTTGGGGTACACCCTGGGGGCAGGAGAAAAGGCGGAACGATTAGGCTCCCGCCGAACACCCGTGAATACACGGTCGTAACAGTCGTGCAGAAACAGTCTGCAGTTACGTTCGAAGAAGGCGTATGTATGAAACGAACGTGTTTTTGAGGCCTTTCCTCAGATGCTTTGGTCATCGTGGGTACAACGGACACCTTGTCTTATTTTTTGTATGACGCGCATGGGCAGTGTGAGAACAGTGTACTAGAATTCGGGGTAGCGTTTGAACCCGGCGCGGCTCGGCAATGGGAGCTCGCGAGACTGCACGTGTAGACATGAACAATCGCGGAGCTGCAGTCGACAGGGCAGCAAAAAGTCTTCGAAGCCCGCACGTGCCCGACAACCACCCTGCTGGCCTCAGTACCGATGCGCCGGCGTCGACATACCCGTCGCGGATTTACACCACGCGCCTCACGCGAGCGACTCCGGTCCCAACACTACCCCGTATTCTAGATGAGGCTTTGGCTTAAGTTATAAAATAGTGTGCTGTTTAAAGTAAAAGTAAAAAGAAAAGAAGAAAAAAAAAAGTGCAAACGCCGATGTAGTGTTCGCGCTAACAATGCCGCGCAATGTACATTCACAGTCATTATATAGGTAATCAAGGTTACACCACCCCGACGCCAAACTGGAAAACGGCACTGTAATAATCAAAAGTATAAGAACCACAAAAAGCGAGAACAACGTGTAATGAGGCTAAATAAAGCGAAAAACAAACACAAACAAACTACAGGATTCCTTGGCAACCTTATTCGTTAATGTCAAAGGGAACGCTTCGCAGATGCATCAGGCTCCAGTGCTGGAGACGGCGTTATTTTTATCGCCTTAATGTTCGTCGAGTTCGCGCCGTGTACGGCCGGTCCGAGTCTCTAGGCGTATTCAATTGAAGAACAGTTGGAGCATTGCCCGAGTTCAAAGAGGTCTCATATAACAAATTACTTCGCTTCTTGAACAAAAAAAAAAAAAAAAAAGAAGGTCAAAATTGGGATAAGCTATAATTTTAGTTAGAGCAAGGTCGCGTTCTAGAATTTCGTGTTGGTACGAAGAAATCAGCACTCAATCCCCGAATGATCCATGTTCGCTATAAAACTGCCTTTTGTCGACCCTTGCAGTGGCACAGCACCTTCTCACAAATAAAAGAGATAGAACGTTTGCTAACAAAATAAATACATGCTTTAAACTTTCACTATGACAAGTGTTCGATTCTAGCGCGGAATCGATGCCAAGCTGCAGGAATGACAACGATTTTGATTATGCGCGTTCACGTTTAAATATTCCAGGTGCTCCTTAAATGGACACCGTTTCAAACCATGTGATACATTGCGCGAGGAAAGGACTTTAACCGACTTTTTTTATAGGTGTTTTTTAACCTCCTTTCACTTTCACGTCAAGCCTACAAGGAACAAAAAACGAGGGCATAAAAATAGCGTATTATAATGAACCACAAAAATGTATACCATTTCAATGACCATGCCACATGAATGTCCACAAGAAAAAATTGGTCGGTGCATAGGTGTACTATGCCTAATAATTTCACGTAGGGAGGAAGCGGGGGGGGGGGGGGGGGGAGTTAACACTTCGCCAAGTCGCGCTTGACAGCCGTGTGAACTGCCCGGGCCGCAAAAGGACGCGAGCCCGGCCGCTGTCCAGAGCGATGAGCGAAGAATGTCGAATCACGGCTGCCGGAGAGGCGTATATCGCCGATTCAATCAGACAGAAGCGCATCGCGTTGAAGCGAGCAAATGAGCAAGCCAGCAGACAAGGAATGGCTGCAGAAACCACTACTGCTGGTTGGCTACGAATTACGGTAACATGCGTTTACGACAACCTCAAAGACGACGTCTAAGACGACATCGACATCAAGGACGACTACTAGAACGACGTCAAGAACGACCTCTAGGGCGATCTTAAGGAAGGGCCTCTAGGTCGACGTAGAGGACAAGGTCAAAGACAACGTCTAGGACGATGACGACGTCAAGGTCGTCAGGTCCTTCGAAGAGGGTGCGAATGTGAAGTGTGAGAATGTGAGCTCGAATGGTCTACTGCGCTTACCTACTGCGCGTTAGGAGGCCGGTGTTATCTGCGTGACGTCACTTCCGTGACCAAGTTTTCGTGACATTGATCTCCCAGCTTTGACTCCCTTTCCAAGCGCAGAGAAAGACGTAGCTCTACATCAACAGACACACACATAGAGGAGGCAGTGAAGTGCAGGCAGGGGGATCGGTGGCCGAGTGGGTTTGCGAAGACCAGCTCGGAGCACGTGTAGCGAAAGATCGCGCTGAAGAGCCCAGGGATCCTGGGTTCAATTCCCACCCCTGCCCGTTTCGATCTGGATGAGCATCGCACCGGCGTGCGGTCGTGTATCACTACTGCATGATGCACTTTAAAGACCCCGCCTAGCGGCTGTACTGCACTGGCTAAATTTCTCACCTACAGCTGAGACACAAGTCGGCCGTTGCGGCAGACTAAGTTCAGGCTGTATAAACATACAAGTACCCCAATATATATGCATTTTTCTAAGTGCAGGCAGCTAGCTTTTGTGTTTACACCCCTGCCAACCTTTGAACCCCCTTTCAAACACAAAGGTGCTTCTCCTATCGCACCAGTGCCAAGGGCAGAGCACGCTTTACAGGGCAACACCACCCCCTCTTCTCTCTCCCATAACATACACACACGAACACACTTTTTGCTACGTGGATTTTTCCAAAAAAAGAAAAAAAGCTCCGTCTACAAAAAATATATTCGCACAATGCCCAATGCGCATCAATAGGTTGAGCACGAAGTAGAGTTTTGTCTTTGTGAGCAGTAAACTGAGACAAAGAAAAATGGTGCGTTCGTTCTCAATGGCATGCTGACGTCCTTTGTCTATGGAAATTTGGGAGTGTGCATCTACCCTGCGGTTCTTATGGTGTCACGACGTAGGCTACCTCACGGCGCAAAAAGGACAGATTCTAAACCACGCACAATAATTCTCAACCTCGCGTCCATACGCGAACCCGCAGCATTGGGCAACTTAGTGCAGCTTTTCAGAGCTAACGGCAAGCTGCACCAAATCAATATTTGAACGTACTGAAAATAAAATAAAAAAATACATACGCGGCACTAGCAGATGTTGACACATTAAACCTTCTGAGTACTCGTTTTTTATGAAAAAATACGAGGCTCGGTGCTCAAATATTTCCACTGTTCGAAAAACAAGACACATATTTGAAACTAAGAATCATTTGCATTTTTTAAAATTTGATTTTAATATTTAGCTTTGTCACCTTTTTTGTATTTGTAGATATTTTTTTCAAAAATCCATCCCCGTCATCTCGGTCAAAAGAGCGCCGACATGGCTGGAGCTACAAAAAACTTCACTTAAAAAAAGAAAAAAAAAAAGGGAATTACATTTGACGAGGTTTTGATACAGACTAAGAAGATACAAACAGATGGAAGAAACATTAATCTGCCAATCTATATGACGAACAGACAGACGGAAAGACGCTTGTGAAAGCGACCGCACGCATAGTTGTCAAATAAAAAAAAAGATTACATAAAAAACCACGGGATTTCAAACATTTTGCTTATGTTGGAAGCATCGAAGTCCACTTCATGGAATAGTTTTGGAACAAACGTGGCTCCTTTGATATCCGCCGTTCATGAAAACTCAAAACAAAAAAGCAAAAGCCAAAAAAAAAGAAATAAAAGAAAAGAAAACGGTACAGGGGAACGCGAAGTCTGAATGTATTAAACAAAACAACAACATAACGATGAAAACCAACTCACGAGTGCCGAATGAATTCGGGTAGCTCTTTATCTTTAAGCGCCAACAGCCCCAAAAGTTGCACTATAAGCGTACGTATAAAAATAATATGTCCCAAAAATTTAGACAAACTTAAACGAAGCTAAATGCTTCCACACGATTATTATCGGCCAAAGTATGTAAAGTAACCCTAAAAATAACCTTCATTTTTATCTTAAATATAAAATAAAGATTAACGGATAAAAATACATGTGCTTATGCAAAGTCGCTTTATAAGTCATCATCTCTTTCAGACTCGAGAGAAGAAATGATGAAACACACGAGGGAAACAAATTGAGCGAAAGAGAATTCTCCTTCGCTCAAGTTGGATAGAGCGAGACAGTTATGCATTAAACGATGAGGTCAGACGCATCTTGCGAAACCGTAAAAGAAGAAAAGCTTACAGAATAAACTAGAATCATAAAGAAAAAAGAAGGTAAATCGTACGTGCTCTTTTCTTTCTTGTGTGTGTGTGTGTGTCAGAGTGAGTGTTGTGTGAGTGTGTAGCGTTAAAATGTTTGTACCCAAAGTCTTTGGCGTCTGCTCTGTTTGAAAAATAAAATGAAGAACAAAAGTTCTCAATAGACTAATCTCACCAAGCGTCCAGCGCAACCGTGACGCAGCCACAACTCTAGTACAGAGGAGGCGGGCGGCAGCGCACGTGACGGTTAACGCCACCTCGTGCTCTGCACGCGCAGAGCTCCAGTGCGGCGCGTGCAGAAAGACTAAGTTCCCTCGATGCATTGCGGCAGCCGGGCGCAACCAAAGATGCTGGTGATATCGGTCTATTTATATCTTGAGCTGGAGTTTCGAACATAAACGAAAAGAGTTTTGTGTATTACCGGAATTCTTGAAACTAATGTTTGTTGGACTTGGGTTCTACAGGGTTAGAATGTGAAGATGAAGCGGGTTTTTTTTCCGACCCGCTGTAATAAACTACGCATCGCAGAAAACAAATTCCATGAGAACGTGACGCTAGAGGCGGGGACAAAATGCGAAACCTTGAGAAGATGGCGTTGCCTGAATCAAAAGATACGAGAGAAAAAGAAATTTCTCAATGAGCCGAGGTCCACCTATGCCTATTATTCATCAAACCAAGGAATGACATTTTAAACGCCTGTAACATCTATTTTGTTAAAAAAAAAAAAAAGGACCAGAGAGAAATCAAGCACAATCGTCTTTCTCGAGGACAATTT